TAATGACTGAAAAACATCCCTTTAGTAATCCAATAGTTGCCAATGCCTAATTTAAGTTAATGACAAATATGCTAGTCTTGGAAAACAGTCAGCAACTTTCCTAAGAAAAATGAATTGTACAATAAAATCTCTGATAAATCATTAATATTATTAGAGTGATCATGGCTTCTTTTGTCTCCAAAACAATTTAGTCAGACATTTCAATAGATAATAAAACCAACATATAGACTCTAAATTAGTGTACTTTTTAAAGTGTAGTTTGCACAAAATTGTAACGCTATGCTCTGAAACTGACAATATACATTTCTTTATTTTGAATATGTCAAAATTAGTCCTGTAATAGTAACAAAGTAGATCGGAACAAAACTACAGCTAAGTTCCTTGACAGATTAGCTCCTTATTTATCTCATTGGAGAACAGCAAAAACCCAAGAAACCTCATGCAATTTCTGATGTTATGCTTCTCAGACTCCATAAAATTCATGGAAGAATCACTGGAAACAGGGAATGTCCTCATATTTCCCGTACAAAACAAATGCAACACTTTTAGTCAGTTTAAACAAAGAAATACTATTTAGATGTTAATTAGAAATTTATTGCTGGAAGTAAAATTTATGATGCTAAATATCTGTTACTCACAGAATTTACATTTAAGCTATTAGAAAATGCAAGAAAAAGGGAAAAAGAAAGGTATTTTCAGAACCCTAAGGACCTTATCATCAAAATACAAGAAAAAAGACCAAGATTTCATTTTAAACAACTATTTTGAAAGCTTGTAGTATCTGCTTTACCTTTGTAGACAATAAAATGAGATTTCACATGTTCTTAAAAGTTTATAGCAACAGAAAATTTATTTTAAAATAGTGACAATGGGAACTCAAAATACGTCTTTTTATTTGCTAAGTATCTGACTGGAGTGGCCAAAAGGTCTAGAAAACAAGATGCAATCTTTTCTAAAAGGAACGGCATGTATGAGAATAATGTTGATGTTACGGTCAGAGAAGCATTTCTTTTTATGGTTAAAGTATATTCTAAACCTTTCCCTTTGGTTAAAAAAAAAAAAAAAATACAACATTCTCATAGCTTACTGTTAACAAAGCAGAAAATATTCTGGAGAGGTACACTGCATTCAAACTGTCTTCTAACACATTCCATCCAAATAAAAATACAGCAAGCTATTGTGCAGAATTGTTTGAGTAAACAAAAAATCCTTCAGAGTACTTTCTTTCACTACAGTTCCACTCAACTGCTTGCAAGGAAACATGAACACTAGCTAGGAGCTTCTGTCCATAAATACTGTTATGTCAGATTCCCCTCTTCCCTGCCCTGCTTAATTCTACTTCTCCTTAATTACATTCAGATTTCTGTCATTCCATAACAACTTCAATATGGCATGTATTTCAATGTTTTGTAAAGGTTTCATTACCCATTTCCACCTCCAGTCATTGCTGGTTTACATTTTTCATCCTGGCTGCTCTGCAGGATGCACATCTTAACAATATTTATGTGGGGTCTTACAGCTTTAACATGGAATATTGTGAACTACTATACTGAAACCACATTGAGTTATATATTAAAGTGATATCTCGTATTATATGATACACTACAGATTTCCCCATGATTTATCAAAACGTGTCAAAGCCAATGTGATGTCTGATGGCAAAATAAAAGGGAGTCATGCAAATAATGGCTGTTTGGGCTTTTATGAAATTGATGTGAATCTTCCTGCAATTCTATTCATAAGAATACATACACCTCAGTTGTGCAGCTTGATTTACAGGTTTTAAATGAGCCAAAAGTCCAAAGCAAATCTGATCAAAACTGTTTTGCTTTGCCTGCTATGGGTCAACATCGTGTAAAGTACCAAAACATACTTTTTTTCACAGTTGAAACTGTAGATGATGTGAAGTTCACTTAGATCTTTGCACAGACTTTCCAAATGGCAGTAAACCACTTTAAGTTTTCAAGATTAAAATCTTAAATCACTGTACATTGCAAAAACCCTACACAGAGCTGTAAAGATAGAGTCTACTATGGAGGGACAGGCACTGAGCTCTCCTGTCTGGGAACAGCAACAGGGTATGGCCTGGAGCTGTGACAGGGGAGGCTCAGGCTGGTTATTAGGGAAAGGTTCTACACTGAGAGGGTGATTGGGCACTAGGACAGGCTCTCCAGGGAAGCAGTAATGGCTCTGAGTCTGTCAAAGTTCTAGAAGTATTTGGAGAATACTTTCAGACATAGGGTTTGAATTTTAGGAGGCACTGTGTGGAGCCAGGAAGCTGAAATCAATGATACTTGTGTTTTCATTCTAACATAGGATACTGTAAGATTCCAGGACTTTGTGAAGATGGAAACTAAGCAACCACAGATACTACCTATACAACCATCTATGTAGATATAGATACTACCAGAAAGAAAATTCATCACTGTAGTATATGCTAAGAGTATAGCAATAACTGACAGTAGTAGTGATTACAAGTAGTGGAAATATACATCGTGATAGTAAAAATCAGTTAATGTGACATTGGAGCAAAGCTCCAACCCCTTTTAGGAGGAAAAAATAACTAAATAACAGTAAGAGACAACGCGAACACTAGGAAAAGAGAATCACGCGCAGTACAGGAAGCATCTCAAAGGAAAGAAGCTACATTTAGTGTAAAAATCAGGCTCTTTTTATACCGATGAGACATAAGAGTAACTTCAGGTAACCAAGAGAGGACAGAGGTGGTGGGATACTCAAGGATGGGAAGTCATTTGAGGGACAAGAAATCATCATGGGCATGGGAAAGCCTGGGTAATGGGAGAAGCCATAAAGGTGACTATGCCTTAATGGGAAAAAGGCTGACAGAAGTTCTCCTGAACCTGGGGCAGAAGAAAATGCCTGCCAGCCTGAGAACTGCCAGCCCATAGGGTACAGTCCTTCAGGAGCGGACTGCTCCAGCATTGGCTCCCCTCTCCACAGACCAGCACAGGAAGTTTCTTAGACAAAAGGAGCTCTGTTCTGGGTAAAAATCAGGGCTGTTTTATACCATTTTTAACTGTTATGCCTAAGAAAGCATAGGACACCATGACTTCAGGTAACCAACAGATGCTGTTCATTTCTACCACCCTCCTGGAGCAGTCAAGAGCTAACAATGTTCTTGATATTCTTCAAACAACTCTTGAGTTCTCATGCACGTTCCCACTTTACTGGGCCCATTTCCTCTTGACAATCAGCTCCTTTGACATCAGAGCAGCGTCCCGGGAACAACAAGCATCTCCACGCCAGAGTGGCCGCGGGGACAATGAGCCAGCCACACCAGGAGCTGCCATCAGAGGCCCCAGTAGAAGAGAGCTGCACCATCTGCCTGGGCCCGCTGGCTGATGCAGCACAACTGGACCCCTGCAGGCACTGCTTCTGCAGGGAATGCATCCAGCCCTGGGCCGCCTACAGAGCCACCTGCCCACTCTGCCGCCAGCCCATCATCGCCATTGTGAGGCTGGTGCCGCACCCCATGCAGGATGCCTCGGCCCACCAGCCCTGGGGAAGGTTCCAGCGCAACGCAGGGCTGGGGTGGCGATGGCAGCAGCAGCGATGGCGGAGCCCCTCCAGCTACCGGTCCCGCAGCGTCTCGCCCAGGCGCAGGGATTGCAGCCCCGCCACGCCACGACAGCTTGTCCGCAGCTTCTCCTGGCACTGGGAGCAGGATGGGTGCAGGCAGCCCCAGTCTCCACTGAACATCAACCCCGAGGATCTGTCATGGCTGTGAAGGGCCCAGCAGGAGGAGCCAGGGGCTGGTGAACATGCAGGCCACCAGGCTGGGCCTGGCATTTAAGAAAGAATAAATAAATCCTAAAAAGCAACTGAGTTGGAAGTCATTTGGGGGATGGGAAATTATCATGGCATTGGGTAACTGGATGAGGGCAGCAGCCATAAAGGTGACCATGCCCTAGCAGGAAAAAAGCTGACAGAAGAATTCTCCTGAACCTGGGGCAGAAACGAATTCCTGGCGGCCTGAGAAGTGCCAGCCCAGGAGCTGTACCACAGGGCGCAGTCCTTCAGGAGCAGACTGCTCCAGCATGGACTGGTCTTCATGGGCTGCACTTCCAGCTGTAATTCAGATCCTGCATGTGCTCCCTACATGCTGCAGCCTCCTTCAGGCCACATCCTCTTGCTCTTGCGTTGGTCCTCAACAGGCTGCAACTTGGAGATCCGCTCCAACACATAACACAAGCTACAAGTGGACAGCCTACTTCACCATGTTCCTCTCTCCATAGCCAGTAGTGGAACTTCTGCTCTGGCACCTGGAGCGTCTCCTGCCTCCTCCTTCACTGACCTTGGTGTCTGCAAGGCTGTCTCTCTCACATTTCCTCAGTCCTGTCACCCATATGCTGTGTGCAGCGTTTTGGAGTCTTTCTTAAATATGTTACCACAGAAGTGCCACCATTGTGCATGGAAGTACCAGCCTCAGCCAGCAGAGGTTCCCTTTTGGAGCCACCTGGAACTGGATCTTCTCTGAAATGGGGCAGCTCTTGGTCTCTTACCACAGAAGTCACCCACACGGCTCCCACACTACCAAAATGTTGCCATACAAACCCAAAACAGATGCTGGGGTATGATGTTGGTACTTGAGGCTGTGAGATGAGGCAGCAACAATGAGGCTGCAACATGACAGCAATATGTGAGGTTAGGACATGAGGTTGCAAGCCGAATGAGCGTGTCCAGAGAGCAACAGATGTTTTATGGCTGGCCAGGGACATCAGCAAGCACAAGCATCTGTGGCGTGGCTGTGACTGCATCATTAAGCAAGATGTTCTATGATTCTAAACTATCTTCTCATGAACCGTTCTGTTACTTAGTCCTACTTTTCTAATTCAGTGTGAAACCATACAGGTTGCATTACACACCTACTTGATTGCTTCAAAGAATCATCTCCAACAAAGAGCACAGACAAACATGTAAATTTAAGCTCTTAAACTCGTCTAAATAGCATTTTTCAAGTAATTCTTAAAGATTCTTACCAGCTCTTGTGTATCTTCTGCTAATGGCAAAAATGCAGCTTCCATAATAGCAATTTGGTCAGCGTTGAGTTTCTGCCACAGACTGATCAGCATAATCACCAGATGGGTGGCACTTTTCAACTTTGTGAATGCCTGGAACATGTTGGCTTGGTTTTCTTCTGCTGCATCTGCTAGAGCTATTACCTGCAAAAATTACAAACTTCTATTAAGTATAATTTTTACCATCCATGAACACTTAACACTAAAATTACATTTGGCACACTCTTGTTTTTTCTGTAGAATATCCTGAGGAATTCTGTCTTCCATAAACAAAAACCACAGAGTATTAAGTGAGTTATCATTTATCTAGATTTTTCCTTTGCATACCCAAGATAATTTCAAGTACAGATGGCAATATAATTAATCTATCTAGTACTGCAAGCAATGTAGAAATTATTCTGTTTAGTGTGTATTCTTAAGGCATTCCTGAAATTGATCCTCATCATGACACATAATACAGGATAACCAACTACCTTTCAGGTTTATACCACACAACGCTAATCCCTGTATAACCAGCAAGCCTACTGTATTAATCAAAAGCAATACATTGATTTTATTCCACTAAAAATGCAATATATGATTATTTCCACATGATAGCCATCTGTAACTTTATTAATTCCCCGATCTCTCTCTGTTTTGCACTAGTTGTTTCAGCATTTATGCCAAAAAGTAAACATTATGGATCATGTTTCTGACAGCAATATTGCTTTAACATAACTGCCATAGATATTGAAAGAATTTTTAAAATAAAGTAAAATGGCAGATTCATCTCTTGTAAGATGGTAGGATAGTTTGACTGAGTACTTCAAGATGGTGGGAAAAGCAGAAAAGCTATTATAAGACATTTTACTCATTTCAGAAGTAACATGTCATTGTAGATAATATTGTCCACTCACAGCACTATGAATCACAGAATTTTAGGGGTTGGAAGGGACCTTGAGAGATCATCGGGTCCAACCCTTCTGCCAAAGCAGGTTCCTTAGAGCAGGCTGCCCAGGTAGGCGTCCAGACAGGCCTTGAATATCTCCAGTGAAGGAGACTCCACAACCTCCCTAGGCAGCCTGTTCCAGTGCTTCGTCACCCTCACCGTGAAGAAGTTCTTTCACATGTTAGTGCGGAACTTCCTGTGCTCTGTTTTGTGGCCACTGTCCCCACAAACCACTGAAAAGAGATTGGCCAAATCCCTCTGTCTCCCACACCTCAGGTATATATAAACATTGATAAGATCCCCTCTCGGTCTTCTTTTCTCCAGGCTGAACATACCCAGGTCTCTCAGCCTTTCCTCATAAGGAAGATGCTCCAGGCCCTGTATCATCTTTGTGGCCCTCCACTGGACTCTTTCCAGGAGATCCCCGTCTTTCTTGTACTGGGGAGCCCAGAACTGGACACAGTACTCCAGGTGAGGCCAGAGTAGAGAGGGAGGATCACCTCCCTTGGCCTGCTGGCCACACTCCTTTTAATGCATGCCAGGATCCCATTAGCCCTCTTGGCCACAAGGGCACACTGCTGGCTCATGGTCAACCTGTCGTCCACCAGGACCCCCAGGTCCTTCTCCGCAGAGCTCCTCTCCTCTCCTACCCATCTCTCCAGCCGTCCAGGTCTCGCTGAATGGCAGCACAGCCTTCTGGCGTGTCAACCACTCCTCCCAGCTTTGTGTCATTGGCGTACTTGCTGAAGGCAGACACTATTCCCTCATCAAGGTCGTTGATGAAGATGTTGAACGGCACCAGACCCAGCACCAACCCCTGGGGAACACCACTAGTCACAGGTCTCCAGCCAGACTGCGCCGCTGATCACCACCCTCTGAGCTCGGCCAGTCAGCCAGTTCTCAACCTACCTCACTGTCTACTCATCTATCCCACATTTTCACAGCTTTTCTAGTAGGATGTCATGGGAGACAGTATCAAAAGCCTTGCTAAAGTCAAGGTAGATGACATCCACTGCTCTCCCCTCATCTACCCAGCTGATGATGCCATCATAGAAGGCAACAAGGTTGGATGAGCATGACTTCCCCTTGATGAATCCATGCTGACTACTCCTCATAACCTTCTTCTCTTCCAATTGCTTGGAGATGGCATCCAGAACAAGTTGCTCCAATACCTTTCCAGGGACAGAGGTGAGACTGACTGGCCTGTAGTTTCCCGGATCCTCTTTCTTGCCCTTCTTGAAGACCGGAGTGATACTGGCTATCCTCCAGTCTTCAGGCACCTCTCCTGTTCTCCAGGACCTTTCAAAGACGATAGAGAGTGGTTCGGCAATCACCTCTGCCAACTCCCTTAGCACACATGGATGGATCCCATCGGGACCCTTGGATTTGTGTGCGTTGATCCCACTCAGATGCTCCCAAACCACTCCATCATCAACCAGGGGGGAGCTTTCCATTTCCCAGACCCTTTCTCCTCCCTCCAGGGTCCCAGAGTCCTAGGGGGGAGTCCTTGAAGCAAACACTGAAGCAAAGAAAGCATTCAGTATCTCCACCTTCTTGGCGTCCCCCATTACCAGGACACCCCACTCATTCAGCAAGGGACCCACATTATCCCTAGTCTTCCTTTTACTGTTTACATACTTTAAAAAACCCTTCTTATTATCCTTTATCTCTTTTGCAAGCCTCATCTCTAGGTGGGCTTTAGCCCTTCCTCATCGCATCCCTGCAGGCCCTGACTACACTTCTATATTCTCCCAAGAGGACAGGCCCTTTTTCCACATTTCATAGACCTTCCCCTTCCTTTTGATCTTGTTGATGTGCTCCTTGCTCATCCACACAGGTTTCCTGCCCCCCTTCTCTAATTTCCTACTCCTAGGGGTGAAAAAGGACGTTTTGGAAAAATATTGCTAAAAATCCCTTCTTTCTTGAAACACAGCGGCTAGACATTTTTGTCACTAGTGAAAAGCAAAGACGAAAGTGATTTCAATATTCAATTGCTATAATTTCAATATATCAGCAATGGATTTTCTGGGGTACTTGCACTGAATTACTTCAACTAAAGGAAAGGAACAAAGATTAGTGGCTTGTCCTAGAGTTGGAGCACAACTTAAAAGACCTGTTCTCTTGAATGACACCAGATCTTAGCATTGCCCAAATAATGGCTAGCAGCAATACACATCATCTTCACTGTCATTTAAATCAACACAAAACACTTCCCCTGAACCACCTTCCCCTTTTTATTTATCTGCAAAATGAAGTAGTATGTGCTTGACTGGAGTTGTGAAAGGCCTCATAAATGCAGTTAAATTTTAATTAGTATTACAACAGAATTTACATAGTAAAATTTGCAGAGCTGGATCCATTAACATTTGGCAACAGTAGGAAAATGAAAATACTATACAATGCAATTTCAGCCTGGAAACAAAGCCAACCAGCTGTTAGCATTTGGTGGAGGAAAACTATTTTTAAATCTGCAACACTGGCATTAGAGATGTGTGTGTTCCCTCAAAGTTCCCATGTGACTGGGAAGATAAAGGCAACAGAGAATTTCAGGGAACTATAAATATGAGGCATTTCAAACAAAATGTGTTGATAGCTTTTGTTTTGGATTGTAAAATGTAGCATTTCCAAATAAAATGGAGAACCCACAGGACACTTATGAATCCAAACGCTACATAAATCAGAGCTGAGTAACAAGAAGGCAAAACAAAATACCACCTAACCATACTAAGGTGAAGTGTTAAATTAATCCCTAACAGTGAAAAAACATGTAACATATATCGCTTGGAGGAAAGCAATAGTATCACAGCCATGAGTCACCTGATGCAAACATGACTGCATTACATTTGCTCAGATGAAAAACCTGGTGCTCTGTCTACCTCATGTTCTACATGAGGTGCAGTGCAGTTCCACAGTATGCTTGCTTTTCAGCAGTTAAGGGTGACAAAGCCATGTGCCAAATGTACCACTGCACAGTACCTTACATCAAGTTGTAACTGATCACTGTAACCATTAATTGTGTGCAATAATCAGCTCCATCTTTCACAGAAGACAAATAGCAAGAACAGACAAGTTCTCTGTACAATATACTCAGAATTCCTGGAATTTGGAATAAAGGCAAGTTAAATGTATCCTCCTTTTGGATAAAACTCAGCTAATATCAGTAAGGCTGAAGAAGCAGGCAAATACCATTGTGTTTGTGTGACAACTACCCGAACACTGCTAACACAAGAGGAAAAAGACACCTAGACTGAATCACTCATGAATTCCCAGATCATCTCTCACTCTGTCCTACACTTAAAACTTATATTGTACTGTATACCTCAGAACATAAAAAAAAAGTTACTACACGGTGTTTCATTTCAAGAAGTCTTCAGAATATGCTTTCTTTCTATTTTAGTAATTATAAACAAAGGAGATCACAGAATCACAGAATTTCTAGGTTGGAAGAGACCTCAAGATCATCGAGTCCAACCTCTAACCTAACACTAACAGTCCCCACTAAACCATATCCCTAAGCTCTACATCTAAACGTCTTTTGAAGACTTCCAGGGATGGTGACTCCACCACCTCCCTGGGCAGCCTGTTCCAGTGCCTCACAACCCTTTCAGTAAAGAAATTCTTCCTAACATCTAACCTAAAACTCCCCTGGCATAACTTTAGCCCATTCCCCCTCGTCCTGTCACCAGGCACATGGGAGAACAGGCCAACCCCCACCTCTCTACAGCCTCCTTTAATGTACTTATACAGAGCAATAAGGTCACCCCTGAGCCTCCTCTTCTCTAGGCTGAACAAGCCCAGCTCCTTCAGCCGCTCCTCATAGGACTTGCTCTCCAGGCCCCTCACCAGCTTCGTCGCCCTTCTTTGGACCCGCTCAAGCACCTCGATGTCCTTCTTGTAGCGAGGGGCCCAAAACTGAACACAGTACTCGAGGTGCGGCCTCACCAGAGCCGAGTACAGGGGGACGATCACCTCCCTAGCCCTGCTGGTCACAGTGTTTCTGATACAAGCCAGGATGCCGTTGGCCTTCTTGGCCACCTGAGCACACTGCTGGCTCATATTCAGCCGACTGTCCACCATCACTCCCAGGTCCTTCTCTGCCTGGCAGCTCTCCAACCATTCCTCTCCCAGCCTGTAGTTCTGCTTGGGGTTATTGCGCCCCAGGTGCAGGACCCGGCACTTGGCCTTGTTGAACTTCATACAGTTGACCTCAGTCCAT